GTTTATACTAGAATTCATAAAATTTTTAGAAATTAAAAAACGTTAATAAATTACTATAATTTTAATAGCAATATCGCTCATCTTTCAAACCTATTAACATAAATATTATCTATCCTAAGTACCTACACAGAGTTTAATAATTATTAAAAAAAAAAAAATTCTCCTAAATTTTAATTTAGATAGTCAATATTTTCAAAACAATCATAATATGCTTTACATCTAGGTAAAAAAAGGGCGGTTCTCAATTGGAAAAAAAATCAGTTTGTATTACCACAAATAATATAATAAACTAAAGTATTTGAAAATATATTTAAAAATAACAATAAATTTTACTTTTGCCGGATTATATGAACATAAAAACAAACATATTTTAATGAATATAAATTATAAAGTGAATTAATGGTTCTATAAACTTGACTTTTGTCGGGTTACTAACACAATTTATTAATAGCTCAGTGAAATTTAGTAGACCACTGACCAACCATGAGTCACTAAATAATGTTTAAGTAATCACTAGGCTCACTATTAATTCATTAAATGTTTGTTTATGGAACCCGTCATGAGTAGTCGATGATTAGTTCATTATTACATTTTAGTAAATCATTTAATATTTCTATTTTTATAAATTTATTATAAAAAAAAAAAAGATGCTAAACAGAAATTATATGTCTACCTATATTATATCGTTAAGCATATTTCATGATAAAATATCTTTTGATATTGTCATTAAAGTAATTTATTTTACAATAAATTAGTATTACTAAGGTTAGGTTGACTTAAATTTTTGCGAAAACATTGAATTTAATATTTAATTATTATTGCGATTACTTTTTGAGTTAACTCCATCTTATCGTAAAACAGTGCGAAATAGATTCATGGTTTATAAATAGGTAATAACTATATACATTCTTTAAATTATATATTTTTTAAATATCATTGTGTTAAGTAAAATTCACATTTTACGTAAAAGTTTTAAGACCTATGAAAAATGTTTTTGAATTAAAAAAAATTTTATTTGGGTTAGGACTTCGAATTTCGTGTAGATTTGCGGAGCTGAGAATTTCTACTCGCTCTGTCAGGTGATTACGACATTTAGTCTTTTGGAGCTGTTTGAAAGGGAAGACCAGAAGAATATTGACATTTTTAATTTAATTGATTTTTGTGGACTTATTAGACTATATTTGTAGCCACAAAAGAGTAGTTGGGTTCTTATATATTATTTTATATCGAAGTAAGAGAATCCTAGTACGGTTAGGACTTCGAGAGAGCAGTGTGAGATTTTTAACTAATAAGTTATTATATAGGTATAAAAATTCAATACCTACATTATAAATTGTATTAATTAAAAAATAACTTACAAACTTTTGTAATTTTGATGAAATTCTTCAAAAGACTAACATCAAATGGCTTTAAAATTATTGAGATAATTTATTTTTTAAATTTTTAAACAGGTTTATAATATAATTATTATAAGAAATCTTGTTTTAAATTTTCAAAATTTGTGACCAAAAAAACATTTTTTAATGTCCTATAGAAAAAACTAAAAAAAAATTAAATAATTTTAAATGTCTATAATTAATTCGATAAAATTCAAAAACCTTTTAAATTTAAAATGTTAAAAAAAATGGTAATATTAAAATTTTCTAGTGTATACAATAATTTGTTTTTGAATTAAAATAAAATATCAAAAGTAATTTTATTAAAAACTAGTTTTATGTAAAAATTGTTGTTTTTACCTGATTTGTTGTATTTATTAGGTAGTTTTTATTTTAACCTTACAAAGAATCAAGCTAGATTCAATTTTTTATCAAAGACCACCGTGAAAATTGAAAATTAAAGAATTTTTTCATAATAGTCGGTTTTGATGGTTGTCATTGACTACGTTATATTCATTATAATGAATGTATTCTGTAATTTAAATTTCATAATAAATCCTTGCATATTTACGTATGAAATTTGAATAAAGACAGTGTAGATACAGTCTCTATAAGGATACCTACTTTTAATTTTATTTATATTACTAAATTATTTATTTATTTTTCTACTAGCAATACAGCAAGTTAAAATAATGTTTTGTCACAAATAATATTATATTTTATTAATTATTATATTATTGCTATAATAACAAGTGAGTCAATACTCAATAAACCAACAATACAAAATACATACGTAAAAATACGACAGACATAGCCATGCAGGTAAAGTATAATGGTGTGAATTCTTTATTTTTCACTTAAATATTCAGTTTCAAAAGTTGTTATTAACCGTTTTTTTTAAATCCTAAAAATATTCAAAATATTCAAATGTTTTTAAATAAATAGTATAATTTTGTATTATTAGATTATAAAAATTAGTCTATTTTGAAATTTTTTTTGTTTGTAGAAAATAATAATTTAGGAACATTACAAGTTTTTATGATTAATATTTTTTGAATACAACAAAATTACAAAAACCGTCTAAAGAGAAATCATATCATTTTACATTTGAGTACTAAATTTTGACAAAAATTGAACATTAAACTCTTATAAAAAAATGCTGCCACTACATGTTTTTCATATTTTTTAATTGCCGCAAGAACATAATTTATATGAAATTTTTTTTATACTTTCAAGCTTTCTAATTTAGATGAAATTAAAATGAATAATGTATTATGTATTTTAATGTATCAACATAAATCGAAAGAACTCTAAAATTTCAAATGTCTATAAAAAGTCTAAAATTAACCAAAATATTTTGAATATTAAATATGCATGTTTAGAAAATTTGAAAATTGGAAGTATCTATATTCTATAGGTGCATTTATTCATTTTTGAATAATCAAAGCAAAAAATAAAATCGATTTTGTCATAAAACAGGTATTTATGTTACGTAATTGTGTAAATATTTCGTTTTCTTTAATTTTTATTTTGTTTTTCTCTATAATTTTGAAACAATTTTTGTTAAAATCGTCTACCAAAAACCACTATCAAAGTCGAAAATTGAACTTTTTTGCCGACCAAATTACGGTGACATCATAAATATTTTAGTTAATAACTGCAATAACATTTATTTCGTTCTACTCAGAATCTATAAAACACAAAATTATCTTAAAAAATTCTTCAGCATATAATAATAATATTAGTTAGGTATCTATATCGTACGTAGAAACGACTTAGATTAATATCAACCAGTTATTTTCCTCCCATATAGTAAGTTGTACACCGGAATTCGGAGCACTCAGAATTTAGATCATTCACTATACTAATATTATAATTCACCCAGTATAACTGTGCAAAGCGGATTTAACGGAGCGTTCGTGTATTTTTTTTTTTTTTTTTATTACATTTTAATATAGGGGTTTAACAACTGAAGAATATCGTAAATATTTAACGAATTTATGACCGAATGGAAGCCCGTTGAAAATATATAATATTATGATTGTGCCGAGGACTTTCGCGAATCAGGCCGACAATAATGCCGAATACAACACACATCATACTGCATAATATGCGACGTGCATAATATTATAATAATATAACACATTATTAATACGCAGTTTGGCACTACAATATCGTATCGTTTGGTCTTCAGACGGTGGCATGGACGTTTTCGAGTTTGCACAAAATAGTCCGGCGACACGATAATATCGGTCATTGATTTATTAATAGTCGTCCATGGGTCGTATGTAGGCGTATTAAACGTTGTATCACGTTAATTTAACTATTAAATAATGCGTCGACAGTAAAATTATGTAGGTACCTTACACGTGCGTTTTACGCTATCGCGACAGCCGCGAATAATGAGTAATAACTAGTGAGGACCGAGGTCTGAGAAACAATCAAAACTCGAATAGACGATAATTTTATTTAGTGCATACTGCATTTGTGTCGATAGACATAGATAGGGGCTTGCCGTTCGTCCTGATGTCCCGGTTAACGGGAGTCTCAAGAGAAAATAACTTTATTATCGTGTATTATTTTTTAATAATAAAATATAGAATAATGTTGTACACAGTGTCGTTGTATCGTTATCGCATGTTATCTAAATTTATCGACACGTTCGAGCTACAGAATTTTAAGCTGGAGACGTTGTCGCGACACACACATCGCAATAGACCGATAGAAACGAAAATTTACGATATTTTTGGAACTAGCAAGCACCCCCACTACGAAAGCGGCGTCTGCACAATACCCAAAAACATCGTTACCGCGTAATAAATCGCAATTTCGATCGTGTAACGCATTCATAACAATATAATATTCGCACGAGCGCGCGACTTGTGCGAGTTTGCCGAAGGCCCGTAATATACGTATTATATTTTATTATATTTTATTATATTATTATATACATCGGCTACGTGACAATACACGGTCTCGGTCGGTAACAATAAAACGGTTAGAGAGTATAAGAAAACACGACGGCGGAGTAGGAGAAATCCGTCCGTCGGTCGACCGTTTTCCAAGGTAAGCGCACTCGGCAGCGGCGGCGGCGGGGGCGGTACGAATGCAATTATTATTAATTATTGTACAGCGATCGTTGTTATCGGACGCTCGTCCGACGACAATCCAAACGATATCGCGTAAAAGGTACACGTAAAACCACCTTTGACGCTAATCTCGCTCTCTCACGGTCCTCCACACGCCAACCGCCCAACAGCAATAATATTAGAGACCCAACAGTACGCGTAAATACGACTCGACCGAGTGTGTGCACCCGTCGTGCGGCGGGCGCACGACACGGCGCGTACTCGTCCGCGTGCAAGATGCACAATGCACAATGCACGTTGCACACGGCGCGTCGGTGCCCACTGCAACAACGCTGCTCGTCGCGGGCGGTCGCGCCGCTGCTATAAGGATAAAGAACGACGACGACGAGGAAAAAATATGACACACGAAATACGGTAGTATCGTAATCCGCTGCGCGCGACGGGAAGCGGGGACGTCAGCGCGGTAATGGATCGCGCCGGCAGTGGCAGCACTGCGGCGGGCATCGGACGACAACACATTGTACTCCTCGGCACCGTCCACCAGTTATTATATATTTCGCCGCCGAACGCGTCGGTACGCCGATTCCACACGTCCCGACGTACGCCGTGCGCCGCAATCACCCGAACGACGACGACGCAGCCGCCGACACTCTCTGCCGCTACCACCCGTCCAACCTGTGTGTCCCACTACTCGCCGCCGCCACCACTACCTCCGCCACCGTTGCATCACCTCTTCACCGTCGTCGCACGCTAAACATGGCGTCCGCCGCCGTGTGATCGTCGTTGTCGCCGCCGCCACCAACGTCGCACCACGCAGCCTCATTCATGTTGTGAGTATTACATTATTTGGTCGTTATTTGTAATGCGGTTTGCACGTTTTGTGCCGCCGCCACCCCGACGAGTCGGGTCCACCGATACGATTTTTAATTTTGTTTTCTTCTAGTTTATAAATCGCAAGATTTTTCGTTTCCTCCCGGCGCGCGCCATAACTGTCGCAGTATTGTGTTTTCGAATCGCTGTCGCCGCCACCGCGCGGCAAACGATGATTTTTAACCGTACCGTCGTTTGCGCCGCACCACCCCTCCCCTTCCACCACCACCACCACCGGTTACCTCCACGACCACAGCCCATCGCGCGTATTCCGTTCACGTTCACCTTCACGCTCCGTCACCATACTTCCATATTATACTCACCACTATAATTATTATTATTATTATTATTATTACTATTACTATTATTATTATTATTATTATTACTATTACTTACTACACCGCCGCCGTGTCGTACTTACTGCAGCTGGTGGTCGGGGAGGTCGGTGCTGTACTTAGTGTACTTCGTCACCGGATTATTTGATATTTCCATTCCCCTCTGACGGCGTACAAAAAACCGCGATGGATTTTCTCGTCCGGCGACCATTTTGAACATTTTTTACGACGGAAAAAAAATCGATTGAACACGCGCTTTTTATTTTTTATCACGTTCCTATCCGTTTTTTTTCTCGCCGCCGCCGATGCTAGTCTCCGGACGTAAGCTTCCGGTTGTTTGCGTCGTCATCGTCATTCGTAGTCGTTTTTACACAACGCTATTGTATTTCGTACCCATGTGGGCGACGCGGTAAAATGTTTAACGATCGGATCCAATACCTTTGGTTTTTTGCATTAAATTAATACGACGGCCGTAATCGCTGGCCATTGATTGTTGTCCGCCGTTACGCGATCGTCGTACAATAAAGCCAACCGATTTGTGTAATTACTCATAACCTACATATGACTAGGAAATCTTTGATGCTCCGAGGGCGGGTTTTATGATGACCACTGACCAGGGCTTAAAATTTTCTATTTTTTGTTCTATGCACTATATTTTAATTAGACATTTATAAGAAGTGATGTAAAATGAATAATAATAATAATATAGGAAAAAACATTAATTGCTACACACTTTTGAATTTTGTAGTACACATTTCCTTTTTGATACTACACAAAGTATGTTGTAATACACACAATTTAGGGACTGATGATGACGAAAATTTTCGATAGGTTATGAGATAGTACTATGGAAGCATTGGATAAAAAAAAAATACCAGTTTTGTAGATCTGAATGATGAGTGAAAAAAAAATAGTTTATTTATTATTTATATCTTTTAAATTTTAACGCATTGTGCATAAGAATATACTAGTAAAATTAATATATTTTTTAATTTTATTAACTGCATAGCACAAATTTCAAATAAAAATTTAACTTTTTGATCTTCTAATACATTTGAGACCTATTTTTCATAAAAATGTACTATGTGGTAGGTATTGGATTGAAATTAATGAAAAATAATTAGCAATAATTGACTTTATGATAACAATGAACCTTGTTTAATCTACTAAATATTAAATAACTAATATTGTTATATGAAGTGATATTTTATTATAGTTTACTTATTTTAGTAGTTAATAATTGATATCTGCTCACAGTTTACCATAATTTTTTAATTGACTTTTTTTCAAATTTAAAGTTTTATCTAAAAATATGTCAGCTACTTTTTATGCATAGATTATTATAGTTAGTATATTCTGTTTAATATTTTATGTAGGCATGTAGCCAAATCTATAGTCAACTGTGTAAGATTCAAAAACGTTATGAGATTACAATTACAAATTTTTATAAATTTTATTTTTACTTACATAACATACAAGTACATAATAATATAATATATCATTGTAATTAATTGTATATTTCAATAAATTGAGATTTTATTATTTAAAGTTATGTATGTAAAAAGGTAATTAAAATTTTTCTACTTATAATTACACATTTTCTTTCCTTAGTATATATTTTTTCAAAATAACAAACAATTAGTAATTTAATATTATAATAAGTGTATGTGTATATGTAAGTTATGCATTATGATTTGTGATTTGGACAAACATATGTATAACTATATAAAATTAGATGATTGTTTACATAGCATAAAATATTATTATGCTTAATGTAAATCTATTCAATCCAAATAAAATGTATTTTGTAAGATATGTTACTGTCTCTTAAGAAACCTCCCAAGTTCTTTACATTCAGTTTACCACTAATTTTGGCATTTAGCCAATTACAATTGTTTTTAACTTTATTTATATCAATAAAATCAAATGGTTATTTATACAATTATACAGTTTATAGAATTTCAGTAAATATAAATAATATTTGTTTGTTTTATTTTATTTTTTAATTTATATTTTTAAAATTTTACATTTTAATTGTGATGTATCACTTTTTAATATTTTTTTACACGTATCACTTTGCAACAAATTGTGTCATGTATACCTTATACAAGTAAAGATTACATACAGTGTTAAAGAGGGCATTACATTTGTCTCTGTCTTAAGAGTGTGCAACATACCAAATCTATGTTCAGCAGTTCACTTTTAGTTTTGATTTTAAAGTGAATTGATCTATTATGAAACTTAATGGTAAGAACTTTATTTGTGTTTGTGTATAGAATTTTAAGTGAGTTATAAGCATTTTTAAACTATTTCATACACTCAAAACTTGATAAGAAATTGAATTACTGTAAAAAACTTACTTGTAAACACAAATTAAGTTCTTACCATTAAGTTTCATCACAAGTCGATTCACAAGCTAACAAAGATAAGTGCAAACTTCTGAACATGAATTTGCTATGTTAGGCGTTTATTTGACAAAGATGGTTAAATCATATACCTATCTATAATGATATAATTTTAGTATTTACTATTATTTTTTAAATTTTTTAATATTTGATTATTCTAGATTTTCGTTTATTATTTTTATTTTTTACCAATATATTCATAATCATTTAGAAATTTATTTCCTATTTAAGAATGCATTTAACATTAATTTTTTTATCAAAACTAATATTTTTTATTCCATATTATATTATGTGGTAGTGAATACTATAAAACATATAGTATAAAATTAAAGCAATAGTCTGCTTAATATGAACTATAGACTTAGTTGTTGATTGCCTATCTGTTCAATTATCTTATTTTTAATTACTGAGAATCCTATAAAAAAATATAAATAACACAATTGAAATATTAAAGATATTATCTGAAACTTCAAGTCATATAATGTATCGAGTAAAACATATAATTTCATTTATAAATATATACAATAATATAATACCTACTGACAAAATAACACTGAAATGGATTTTCATTGAACTCTGGCTCTTAAAAACATGTGTTTAATAGCAAACTAAAATTTAAGGAAGCTTAAAAATTTTACTTATCTTACACTTAAATCCAACTGTTCTATATAAAAACTCATAAGACAAAATTTTATATGTGTACCACTTAAGTATATATTATAAAACCATGATCATTTTGACATAAAAGACATTATTACAAGATAATACATTTAAAAATAATTAAATTTATTTTCCCATAAATATTGATTGATGATAAACAATTTATTATAAAAATAGCACCACTATGAAAGAACTATATATTTCATAATTAAATAATTATTTTTTAGGAATATTATAAATTTTAGGTACCTATAAATTGTATACATTTTTAAACATATTATATTAGTTCTTTAAGAGTTATTTATAATTTCTGTGAAGATGTGTTATGAAACATATAGTAATATTGTGTATTTGTGTGTGTAAATTAAATATTTATTCTACAAAATATTTTTACTTTACCCTGAAAGTTGTAATTGAAAATATTTTACTAATATGATTTTTATATGTTCTTAAAAATTTGTTAAATTCTAAAATTATACATATTTGAAACAATTTTTACTTACAAAACTCTGATGCATTTTCCAATATTATTTTAATTTTAAAAATGTATGTCAAGGTTATAAAATAGGTATATTTGTCTAGAATCATTGCACACTTATTTTTAAGTAAATTGCCTCCTTGAATTTTGTAGCCAAACTATTGATGCTATACATAAATTTACTTTGTAATATTAACATTTTTCAAAAGTTATAAGTCGTGATCAATTTATGATAATAATAAATTAATACTAATTAATACTTATCAAATTTTTTTACTAATTAAACTTTTAAAAACTGTAAGAACACTGATTATTATAGATTGACAACTCCCTTCTTATTTCTTGGTAAATTGTGTGTAAGTTATATTTAGTCATTTAGTGTATTTAAAATTTAAACAATATGATTACAAAATAAAAAATGTGAAAAGTTGTTTTGCTTTACACGCTTAATTTGTTTTTGTTAGATATTTGAGATACGAGTTGTACCGCATGCTCTTTTCTTAAAGAGTTTTAAACAAGCAATTTTTATAGATTACCTATTAAAAAAAAAAAAAAAAAAAAAAAAAACGAAAACGTAAACGTAATAATTAAAATTTATATTTAAAAACGGAATTGCGCAATTATAGATTGTTATTGATTTTCTTGCCTAGTTAATAGTTACAAAATTATTCATAGGAATTGTATCAGTGACGAATTCAAGAGGGGGAGAAGGGCCCGGGCCCCCCTTATAGATTAGCAGTAATGCCAGTAACAATATGTACGTGTGAGCAATCATTTTATACGTTAAAACGTATAAAAACATACTTAAGAAAATACAATGGGGGGGGGAATCGTTTAAAATGGACTAGCATTGCTTAATATTCACAGAGAAATAATTATAATATTGAATATGTTTACAGTTTTCCCTAAAATAATAAATAAATTAAATTAATACATTTTAAGTTATTTTTCTTTATTTTGTAATTATAAAATTACATTTCAATTTTATTATTCTATACTTTTTTTAGAAATTATACTTTTAAATTTTTCATGTTAAAAAAGTTTGAATAATGTTTTATTTTAAGGCCTAACATCAAATCCTAATTGATGTGTTTTCAAAATTAATATGAAAATTTTTAGGATAATTCCCCTCCACCCTAAAAAAAATTAGATTCGCCGCTGAATTATTTAATTAAACTCTTAACAGTCTTAACCATTAAAACATTATCGTTATCAATGTTATCATACTTAAATATACAATTATATATTTATTTTTGATACCAAGCTAATTATTTATTAAACAGCAGTATCAAAAATTAATATATTATTTTTTTTAAATATTAACTATAATTATATTCTTAACATAATAAAAAAAATACATGACTTATTATAAGTTACCTTCATTCATTATAAAAATTTAGTCTATTCTATTACGAATATAAAATGAAGTAATGGAGTGCATATCGAGTGAACTGCTTGTACTCTAATACGACATATCGACGTCTACTACTTAGTACTTACGCCTTAGTCGTTTTACTCTCACTTAAGTGAATATATTCACTTATCACAAATAATTACTTTATCTCACACAAAGAAGTTTTAAAAGAGTTAAATATTAAAAGTATTAGTATGAATAATGAATAATATACCTAAATTAAATAAATTCGTCGTCAAAAAAAAAATTGTTTTTGAAAGTTTGCTCAACGATGCTTTGGGCGATTAGTTTGACCATTTTAATTTTATAAAAACAACACATCCAATTTTTTAGTATTATTTTGCTAACCTATTTTGTAAAAACCTCAGTTGGTATAGTTAAAATTGAATATTAATTTTCATATATTTTATAGTCTGTATAATAACATGCTACTTCGATCCTATAAATACATTTCATACTTAGCGTAATTTATTTTCTGGTTAATATCTTACGATAATAGCTAAAATGATGCAAATAATAGATCTAGATTGTTAATTAAAAAAAAAAAAAAAATGTTAGTGTAAATGCATACAAAATTACGTGAATAATTCGATAAGAGTTATTGTCGATAAAAATGAAAATGAAATTCTATTTTTGTACAATAGAAAAACAATATGTTATGACCTATATCAGTATTAAAAAAAATATTTAACTTAATTTCCCTATATCTTCGAATATTATAAAAAAATTTAAAAACATCAATAATTCATTTACAGAAAATAAAACATTATCATATTTTGCTTATAATTGTAAAATTATCAGTTCTTTTTAGTGAAAGTAGTTTATATTTTAATTTTTTTAAATTGTTTGATAAAACCTTTATAATACCTTTATTATATTATTATAATGTATCTTATGAAATGTGTTTTTAAATTTATTGTGTTATACTGTTATTACTAATATTATGAGACCTTGAATGAAATAAAATAGTGGTTCGATAGAACTTGAAACTAAAATTGGTGGTTTCTGGTGTTCATATTCTTATGTATTTACATACAATGTGTCCCAAAAGTTCCATATCACCCTAAATATTTTTATAGTCAATACTAAATATTTCAATACGTTTTTTTCATTAATAAAAGTGAAATATTTCAAATTAGAATTTTCTTAAAGATTTTTGATGAAAATAAACTCGAAAAATATTTTAAAATAAATTTTGGGATACAATATAACAGCATCTAATTTTTTTTTTTATGAGTAAAAAATTATTTATTTTTTTAAATAAAATTTGCATTAATTGAAATATGTTAAATATATTTAACAACTTTAATTTGAAAAAAGAAGCATCTTTTTGAATTTGAGGTATATTGTTGTATATTTATTATAAAACATATTTTTATCATATAATATTTGAAATTTATTAAAAGTATTATTTACACTTGCATTATAATTTGTTTTTAACATTCTAGATTAAGCAATTTTATAAGAAAATATAAATATATATGAATATGAATTATTTACAATATTATGTAAATAATAATAATAATAATAATAATTATAAATAATAATAATTTTTTACTCTTTACAATGAAAATATTTTGACATGCTTGCATTATCACTAAACTGTATACTCTATAGTCTACACCACTACTTCTCAACCTATGGGCTACTAAATTATAAGCAAATTATATGATTTACATTTTAAAGTGTAATTATATAATATAAATAATAACAATAACAATAAGAATTTTGTTTTTCAATGGTTACCTTACAGAAAAATGGTTTATTAGTGAGTTGGTAAATAAGTATTGAGGTATAATGAAATAAATTCTGCAAAATATAGTAATCATTTATTTTTAAAACATTTACATTTTGAAAAACTGAATAAAAATATATAACAGGGGTTTCAATGTTTTTTATCCCATGCCTTTTAATTTCTTTATAAAATCTTGACAGTTCCTAAGTTATTAAGAACAAAAATAGATTATGTTCATACTTAATTATTTATTGTCTTCTGTATTGAAGCTAATCATGCAATAACTTTTGGAGCACAACATACGTGTTTGAATGCCTCTCAATCGTAAAGATTCTTTACTTTTACAAAAATTGTATTTTATGTAACTAATATTATTGTATAGGTATTATAACTTTTAAATTGATATATTATTAATTATTATTGTCATAATAAAATCTGTAATATGTCTACCTCATATATTTCCCATTTAATTTTAAAATATCTGTTATACATTATATAATACCTGTATTTTTTTTTTCTTAGTATGTAATATACATTTTTTAACAATAAAATTTTATTTTGATTTAAGGCTCATAATGGCAACTAAAACTGAAGTTGAGAATGAAACGATTGAAAAACCGCTTGAAACTCAAGATATGAATGCAGTTTGTACAAATTTGCAGTTTTGTGATGATACAATTAAATTACAAGCAACAAGAAAACGATGTGTTAGCACATCAATTCTTATTAGCTCATCTCCAAAAAAAAAAAAAAAAGACGGTCAAAATATAATACCACCTAAAAAGTTTTTGCTGGGTGGTAACATGTCTGATCCTCTCAATTTAAATAGTCTCCAGGATGAAGATATTAATAAGTAAATTAAAATATTGATGTATTTAGAACTGAATTATTAGAACTGAAAAATTTTTAAGTGATGTTAATTTATTATTTTTAAATTTTAGGGCAATGAATAAAACTCCGAAGTCATCTCCTTTACACTCAAATACAGTGAACATAAAAAAAGATCAAGTCAATGTTAAAATTCCTCGAAATTTATCTGATCCATTGGAACTTAGTCAGTGTGATGAAGCCAAAGCAATTGCATGTGCTGGCACAGATTTGTTAAAACAAAAAACTCCACCAAAGTGTAAATCTAAAATATTGCTATCAAAATCTTTATCTGACTCTAGTTTAACTACAGAGAACACTCCAGAAGAAGAGTAAGTTATAGCAAGTAATAAAATTAAATTTTAAAGAGTATTGATGTTCAATAATATCAATATTATATTAAACGCTTATATTTAATGATATTTTATGATATATCACTATTTAAAATGTATTTAAGTAATATTATGTAAAAGACTATGACAAAATTATTTTATTTTCCTCCTAATTATTAACAAAAAATGTTTATTTATTTTTATTCAGTTTAAAACCAGAATGTATTGATGAAAAGGAAAAACAAGAAGAAGACACTATTTCTTCACCGCCTAAAAAGAAGTTCAAACCTGAATTACCTGAATTACCTGAATTACCTGAAAACTGTATACCCAAGTCTGAGAATAATAAAGTTTCAAGTGAAATAATTGAAGTTATAGAAACCATCATAGATGTATTAGTGAATGAAGTTCTAGTTCAGTCAATAGATAAATGTAATATTCCAATTTCAAAAGCTCCTGTTGAAGTGGTTGTTGAAAAGATACTCGAGCCATGCAAAACGCTGTCACCATCACCTGAAAAAAAAGTTGAAGACGGTAAGGAAATACAAGAGCAGCGCGAAAAAAATAAGCCCAAAAGATGTGTAGTAAGTCCGGTTGTTAAGCAGCCCTCATTGTCAGAAAAACACTCCAAACCTCAGCAGGTCGTTGTTACGACGTCAGATAAACCAAAACAAAAGGTTAATAAAAACGAGCCCAAGTTTAAAGAAAAAAATTCGTTGTTTAAATATGGAAATTATAACAGGTAAGATTAAATGTTATTGGCAAATCTGAAAATGATTTACCCTATATCACCATGTATTTTAACGTAGTTAGAAAAGAGATGTCCAAACGGAAAAAACTCTTTAAACACTTTGAATGGATCAAAGGGCTGTATCTTTCAATAAATTGCTGGGTATGATCTAGATAAACTGATATTATGATAATCATTAATCACTGTAACATATTAAATAGACTATTTTATATTATTATGAATTATTTTTGATTAGTATAATATTGTAGTTATTATAACTTGTAAGAATTAGAATATATTTTGCTTCAGTTATTTGTATTCTTTAAATAGATACAATTTTGTCAATTAAAGTACTTATAAGATTTGCATTAATGATCATCTCAGCATTATTTAATTAAAAAAAAAAAGAAAAATGTAAGTTATTCTCAAATCTTAACTATCTTTGTTAAAATAATTATCTTAAAGTGATTTTGTATAAACTAGTGTATAATTAAGTTCCTCCCAACACATTTTTATTGTTACTGTGAATCATTACTTATTATTAATTATCACAAAAATCTCATTATCCAGAAATTTTAACACAATCACTTTAATTATATAATTCATATATCACTAATTCAAAATTATATATTTAATTTATTCTGATTGGCTATTAACTTTACAATGATATATTTTTACCATTGTAGCACATCAGTAATCTTTAAAATGTAATGTTTTACTTTAATTAACATATTTTAACAAAATACACTATTTCACTTATTTAATATTATTTAATCAATCTTTGTCTTATAATAAAAGATTTACTCTTCAAGGTATGAAGTTCTTAAAAAAAATATACTTGCTTAAAATTTGGAAATGGTAATTTCACCATAATTTTAAGTTTAAGGAGTTACACGAAATCTTGTAAATGTACAATTGGTTATGTTATGTGTTTGTAAGACTAGAGACAGTGTTTGCAGGTGTAGTATCCTCTTAATAGTTTATTTAATTCATTAACATTCATTTTGCATACTTATTATTCAAAAACAATTAATTTGAATGTTCTTCAACATTATGATAATCTTTTTACTTTATGAATCTAATATTAAACATAATTTTATCATTCGTTGTAAAATTTGACCTATTCTTGAATAAGATTTGAAAAGAATTGTTTTTCACCTATTCCAACTTGCTGAACAATCTAATTATGCAATATAGATTTAGAAAATAATTGTAGATTCCTGTTATTTTTTGCTTTAGATCTCGATTAACAAACTTTCTACAAAATTGGACATACACTTCATATAAAGATTTGTCTGATAAAAAAATACATTCAACTATGAATTGTGATCCTACAAATAAATAAATGGAAAAAGTTGTTTGTAACATCCAAAGTGAACACGTTCAAATACCATCACACGCACGTAATAAACATCATAATTATTGCCTACACTAAACTCCTAATTAAAAACGTGTTTTAAATCTTAAAAGCAAACATAATATTCTATGTGTGTACGTTTATTTTTACAATATTTTACTTGTTACTTGAGTTTGGAGAAATTTTAGTTATAGTATATATTATACCTTTAACTTAAATAGTTGTTAAATTCGCTCCAATATTAAAGTAAACGTCTCAAAATTAGTTCTATTAAACACAACTTGTTGTACATTAATATAACACGAAAATTCAATTTGTTTACAAATTTACAACGAACTGTGAAGCACTAGTGAAAAAAGACCTAAGTTTCATCATTTTACCGTTAAATTTAGACGCTTTAATAATGCATACACGCTTAAAAATGACGAATAAATGAATTTAAGTAGATCTTTGAGCATACTAAGTATAATTCCGAAATTTATTTTAACTGATAGTGCTATCATTGACTCTCGTATATATTGAATATTTATTACAGGCTAGCCGATAATTTTAATACAATTAAATACAATTTTTAAATTTATTCTTCTAACAAGAAACATTCAAGAACACATTCACATTAGCTACTTTGTGTATTTTTATTATTATTTTTTCCGAAACAAGAATTTCTATAAAATGACTAAGTTTGTGATTTTGTGAAAATAAAAAGTTATTTTTCTTGAAGTTTTAGCCTTCACAATTTTCAGTGTTTTACGCGTACAGACCGCTTCAGTTTATTGTGCCTTTAATGAGAACTTCGATTTATTTGTTTTTAAATTCACGTATTTTATCTAGCAAGAATGCGTTATAATTATTTTGCTAGTTGAAATATGATAATGATTCTATATAAACCAGCTCCGGTCTCATGATTATATTCTTACAATATTTTGTAATTTGTAAATTCTCATATTTTGAATGAAATAATAAACTAAATCAAACTAACTTTCACACTTATAATAAAATTTTACTTGAGAAATTAATAAAAATAAGTTATAGTAATTAAAAACCTATGATATCTAAAATATATCTTATGATTCTATTGATTGTTTTAATAGGGATGTAAATTATGTAATAAATATTTGTGTATGATTTAAATGTATAGTGTAACTTAAAAAAAAAATTACAAATTAAGTTGCAAAAATCTTTTGGAGCACTGCTATTGAATTCTTACAAAATCAAAGTTTTATTATTTAATCTAAAATGTAGGTGCTGAAATGATCACAATGAGATAATTGCAAGGAGCATAATGTACTGTTTTAATTTGTAGTTATTTATCTAAATAAATATTATTTCAAATAAATGTATAACCTATTGAAAAAATTTGTATTTGTCCAACCTTGATTTTAAATTTGAGTAAATTATTGAACATAAATATGCCACAACATATAATATATTTTCATAAAACATTTATTGAAATGCATATATTTTTTTTTTGTATAGATATTATGGTTACCGTAATCCAGATGATGAAGACAATAGGCTGAAAGTGTTGGCTGAACGTATGGATTTATTTTATGGCAAAGACGTGTTGGATATTGGCTGTAATATTGGTCATGTGACATTTAGCGTTGCTAGAGATTTTGGTGCAAAGTCAGTTGTAGGGATGGATATCGATCGTAAACTAATAAATATTGCACGCAAAAATGTACATCATTACATCAACGATACAGTGCAGTCTCCCTCACATCTATCACCAAATTACCATTTTAAAGATTATGCTCCGAGAAGTGATAATGATCCAAACTGTGATATAATCGAATCATTTCCTATTTCATTACCAATACTATATGGTCCTATTAATTTAGCTGGTATGACAATATCTGGAAGATTTCCCTATAATGTATCATTTGTACAGGTTAGTAAAGTACAAAATTTATTACAATTCTAGAAGTTTAAGTTTATAATAAAAGTAATATGTTACAGGGAAATTATGTATTAGAATCTGATCATTTGCTTTCACTGGAAACGTGTAAGTTCGATGTTATTCTCTGTTTAAGCATTACAAAGTGGCTTCACTTGAACTGGGGTGATGACGGTCTAAAACGAGCATTCAAACGTATGTTTGCACAGTTGCGACCTGGCGGAATACTCGTGGTAGAACCTCAGCCGTGGAAATCATATGGTCGTAGAAAAACATTGACGGTAAATATGACGATGATGTTAATGATCAACTAGAATATTTATCGATTTTGTTTAATGCATAATTTTAGGAAACCATTTGGCGAAATTACAAAAACATTCAACTGAAACCTCCAATGTTTACTGACTATCTGTTGAACGAAGTTGGTTTTGCCAACTGTGAAACTCTTACCATGCCACATAATCCATCTAAAGGGTTTCAGCGTCCGCTCAAGTTATATAGAAAATCTAACATATTAGTAACTAGAAACAAACCAAAGTGTACGATAGTGCAACCAGATGAAACCCAAAACTCATAAACATGGTATTGAAAGTACTCACTTAATATGTTTTAGGTAAACAGAGTCTTAAGTATTTATGTTATTGCTCTTAGCACTGTAATTTAGCAACTGGACCACATGTTTATTGACATATATTACCAAATTGTTATTTAATATTTTTCGTTTTTCGTAATATTTAATATAATTCTATTCATTGTACAATTTGTAAGATGAATAAATATTTTTTTATTGTTAAAAATATATTGATCATGCTTTATTTTATTTTTCCATTGTTTACTTATGTAAATAACATACTGCTATTTGCTTTTCTTCTTTGAACACATACATGTTCAACAGAACAATTTTCAATGTATTAATCTAACGTGTAAACACCAATTTTTTTTGTTTAATGTCATGACATAATGACAGGTTTTTAGTAATCATCGGTCATTTATTATTCATGTGGTTCTATTGTATACTAATTCATTACACAATTTGTACCTAATCGTCCCTTAAAATATGTTTTAATGTCAAAAAATTATAATCATTATATTAATTGAGATAATGTATAGAATAACAATTGAGTACAAAGTACAACTCACAAAAGCTGATACTATTAAAAATATTAAATCTTATAGCATTATATTATCATGAAAAATGTATGATCAATTAAATTATCTTAAGCAATAAATATTTTACTATATTATAATAACTTCCAAAAATTAAACCAGTGATTGACGAAAGTTAAGTAACAAATATGATTTGGAAGTGATATCTAGGTTAACACATCTTAACTCATCGCCTAACCATGGTGAATAAGACTACTGATTATTGACAATTCCTTAACACAGTTTGGTTTAATTTCAAATAACTCAATTAACTTGAATTATGAAATTGATTATAAAAAGTGCAGATAGACCAAATCATCATTTTTCACACTCTGTTCCTAAGTTCCTATTCTAAGGGATCAGCCACATTTGTCTTAAAACTTCATGAGGCTCTAGTTCACCAACGTCTTCATTACTGGCTCAAGTTATTATCCATGTCATTATCTTTACTGACTATCTCTTTGGTTTTTTCTGTACCTATTTTAAACTATCTTTTCTTGTACGCTCATTTTTATAGCAACTCTCATTCTGTCATTTTATACTATAATACTTCTTCAATTTTTTACCTAGAAATTCTTCATTTAATAGCTTTATGAGATACTTATTCCATTTTTTTAGTTTGAATTTTGACTTAAAATAATAACACAATAAATATTGTGTATTATTACCTATCCTTATGCATAGTCCAAACCCAACGGCATGACACTATAAAGCGCCCCGAGGCAAAATATTCTATTCTTCTCTAAATTAATAGAAATTATACATTTTGTTACTATAACAGTGCTTTAAACCCCAAAAATGTCTATGCCACAAAGCAACTGCTGCATCCACAATAGCTTATACCGCCAAGCTAATAATATTTTATATCCCATAACTGTTCTATTTCTTTTATATTTGTTTTCACATAGCTGAACCTGGACTCCATAAAAAATCGAGTTAATTTAGAAACTTAAATTATTAAAATATATAATATCAAAGATGATGACAGACAATTTCAATATGTTGAAAAAGTATTTAATTTCTATTTTTTACCATTAAAATATTAAAACATAATTTAGCAAAATAAATGATGAACATATATTAAATAATTAAAAAATGTTTTAAGAAGTATTAAACAACCAATAGATAACATACTGAGCTCACTCCTCTTTCAATTATCTCATATTTAACAATGGTATACTTTTTATTACTCATAATAATTTATTAGTAAAAAATGAAATTTAATAACAATACATAGCAATGCAAAAACTATGTGCGTGCTATTGTTGCACAACTCAATACAGCTTTGTCTTCACACATATTTTGATATCTTCTCGAATTTCCACCAGGGAGATTGAATAGAAAAGTTTGGTTACATAAGAACATAGCAGTATATAATTACATATGTATATATTAAAACATAGACATTTGTGTGACTTTATTTACAATATGAGGTGATGAGACTCTTTTTAGCTATTGACTACCAAGGGTGACAATCTTACAATAAAGTTAAAATACATTGATAATTAACTATATTAATTATGATACAATTTGTTATATAAGTTTCTTTAATGTGTTTACTACTTGAGAAAAAAATTTATCAAACAAATCCGCATTAGGATTAATACACGAAAAACTGGTATAAACTTTTATTTGTAATTAATACTTCTATAGGTATATTACACTGTATTTAAAATTAAATTAAACATAATGATTAAGTAAAATATTATCTGAAAACAACATATTGTAAAGTTTTTCTCCCATATAAATCCTAATGTGAGTTATGATAACCTAGCACAACTCACACTAGGATTCATACGGGAGAAAAACTGTACAAATTATTTATTTTTAACCAATATAATTTTTTAGTATTGATATAATATTAATGCATGAAGAAATAATTTATTAAAATATAAAATTTACATGGTATTTTTTAACATTTTGATCATTTTTTACTTAATTTTAAAGTTTTTTAGAATATACATCTTTAAAGACGACTTACTAAGTATAGCTTTTTAGCATAAATTAGAAAAAGAATACTGGATTTATTTTGAAAAAATATTTGTGTTTAGTTGATGGTTTTAACATACATATTACGATTTATAGGCTTGTTTTCAAACTTTGACTTTGTACTGTGTTGTAGACACAAATTATGGCATGTATTTGTTTTTATTCATGAAATCTTCAATTATTTCACTGTCAATTTGATAGTTAAAAATGTTCTGTTTGTATAGACTCTTTCTGGTAGCTGAAACAATAATTTATACATAACATATAAAAAATAATATATTATTTAAAGATAAATAGTTATAAATGTTATGATAATTAAATTTACATAAAATATATAGAAATTTAATTAAAGGTTTAAAATAATTCTAATTCAAATACCAAAATATATCATTTTAAGTAGTAATTATAAATGAGAAGTATGAACGGATCGACTGTTTAATATTCTCATGTACTTCATTTTTTTTTAATAAATAGCTCAAAATAATGCAATGTTATAAAAATAATGTACTTTAGCATAGTTTATATTTTGTTTAGAATAAATTATACTTAAACTATAAAGTACTAAATTTAACCCACTAAATTTAACACACGCTACTAGGGAAATTAATACATAAAGCATGGAAGCTTCCATAAAACATACAATAACCAATTTTATTAACCAGTGAGTACTAATACTACTAACTAATATCTTGGACATAATAATAGTTCTACCACTCTATCACCTAATTTACCGAGTTTAACATTTAAAATAATTAACTGTTCTTATTTCTCTGTACTCGTCACCATCTCATAATCAGAATGCAAACCAATGTACATCAGAGACATTTTTACAAAGAAATAGTGAGAAATCACACCAGGTACACATATATAAACTATAAAAATCGTTGACTTACAAGTATGATCATCAGGCACTACTCGCGATTATTACTACAATGAAAAATAACAATAATATATCACAGTGCTTTTACTTTTTAATAATAACGAATCACGTTGTAACACTTCGAACAAAAGCTAATAATAAGTAGTAGTTTCAGTCTTTAAAATATCTAATGTGACAGTGAACTCTGTGAAGCATGGATTTTGTCGAGATATGAAATCGCCAAAATCCTAAATTATTAACAAACACTATCGACTACAAACTAAACCAACGTCACGTGAACGTTGGCCGTCGGGCACAACAAAATATTAAAATTAACAAAATAATTATCAGTAATGGTGAAAATGAAAAAAACATGAGTAATGAAAATGACAAGCAATATTATCAAAAATGTCCTATGATAAGTGATAACCTAATCTAAATACCAACCTCCACTAGTCAGGCGCGGATCTAGAACAGATTTACGGGGGGGGGGGGGGGGGGGGGAACTTAAATAAAATATCAGCCTAAGTGTTTAGCCACGATATATATATATATATATATATATATATATGTCAATATGTGTGTATTACTCGGAACGCGAGACGGTGTATGACGTTATAAATACAAGTACAATCGTACAATGCAAGAACCCGAATTGGCAAAAGTCGAGCTTAACGCGATCGCACACTTAGACGAAATACAATACAACACAAAAGACGAACAGAGTCTGAGGCGGCAACGTGACGACGGCTTGTTGATTCAAAAGCATCGCATGGAGAAGTGTATTTTCGTCATGCCGGCGACTTCGATATCACCAAAAATATTGTCCGATATAGTGGCCATTGACCCTATATTAGACGAAGTAGGGCTGGATATCTTGTACATAATTTTTACGGCCTTTTGTATCTTCGTATAGCCAGATTAGCTTTTTGACGGCGACCGATAAAAACAGACACGGCCGAAACGCTATCGGCAAAACAATGCAATTTTATGGGCTGCCAAAAATAGATATAATAGAAAATTTGCCAGTCTGCGGGGGGGGGGGGGACATGGCCCCATCACCCCTTGGATCCGCGCCAGTCACTAGATCAACAAAGGGCAGTGGCGTTGGAACAAAAACAGCTATAAAAATTGTCAACATTTCTGGAGCTAATAGTGGACGATAAGTTTAGTTATAACAAAAGCATTAAGTCGAACACAGGTGTCATACATATTTTAAAATGATTACATACATTAAAATTGTAACCATTAAAATAGTAAAATACAGTTGTAAATTATAAAAAGTATTAATTTAATTGAATTATGTTATTTTATGTTTTCCAAAATAATGTTTTTATGCGTTAAAATTATAATTTTTAATAATTTAAAAATATTATGATTATAATAATTATTGTCCTGATTTTATTTTTCTAAATAAGGTAACCCTAAATTTAATTGAAAGGTATTAACAATAACTTGATTTTATCACTCAAATCATTCAATAGGCAAGAATAAAAACAAATTTAGTATTGAAACTATTTAATCATAACTGTTCTCTGAAACTACTTATTTAAATATTGTTTAAAAAATAATTTGAATTTAACAACATAATTTATAAAATGAAATAACATTTTTAAGTAAAAAATATGATACTAGTTAATTTTATATACTTTATATCCTTGGAATAAAAAGTATAGTAACTAAAATTAAAAAAATTATTTAATCGTTGGAGTTACGTGAATAAAAAAAAAAAAGAAACTTTTAATAACATTATAATTTCTAATTTTTACTTTAGCATAGTAAAAATATAATATGCAACAGTCTTAAATTGAGACAAAAATTAACTAACATAATTAATAATTAATCCCAATATGGTTCATCAATTTCATATTTGTCGACATCATAGTTTCGGACAATATTCTCATTTTTAGCTTGTTGAACTTGTATCATGGACGGTTGCATTTCATCAGCTTGAACTGACATTGGCTTATGAGGGCATACTAACAAATGATTGGCCATTTCATGTTTTTCTGAATAATAATAATGTCCATAAGGACATTGTATTTTATCTGGAAATGCCTTTTTACACTTTAAAATATGATAAGGCAATCTGTGACGCCTAAGTTTGTGGTTTGGATCTAATGGACATTCCACAATATCCAAGTAGTAAATACCAAAATCAATAGTCCTGTGATTGAATGGGTCATTACTTATATTTTCTTCTGAAGACATTTTTAGTATAGTTACCTGTAAGTAAAATAAAAAGTAAATTATGTAAAAAAAATAGTATACTCTTGTTTTCAATATTAAAACATAATTTAAAATAGTTAATTAACAACTATATGCTTGTGATTAAAAAATTATATTTTAGGTATTACATAAAATATTGAGTTGTAACATGATTAATTAAATGAGTTACACTTATAAAAAATTATTTAATATAAAATATCATATTAAATATATATATATATATGTTATGTACCACAGTACACGCTTTGCTTCTAACTCTTTGAATTCCACTGTATAATTTATAAAAAAAAAAAAATAAATTCAACAGCAAATAAATATTACCTATTGAAATTTATCAAACAGCACTGTATGAATAAAAATAATGATTTATTTTATAAAAATATATTATACAGTTTTAATTGTGGCACAGATTTTTATGTAATAAAAGTCAACATTTGTAAATATTTATGTTCTTAATTTTGCTAAAGTGTGTATTAAAAATCTGAAACACCAAACATTTAACAACAAAATGTAGATAGTTTGTTGTATCTTTTAAAATTTTATTAATCAAATTCATCATCATTGTTGTCTTCTAAGAAACAACTGGATACAACATACATTTTGATATTTAAATTTGAAAGTACAACAAGTAGGTTTCAAAATTGATCTGCAGTAGTTGAAAGCGCGTTTAACGTTAACTGACGATTATAGGGCTTATTTTATACTTGATATATCAGATGATGTTAATTCCATATTCATTGGATATCTGGACTAACCAGGTATGGTATCATAAAAAAATTGTAATATATTTTATTTTATTTATTACGTCGTTTATTAATATTAAAAAAAAACAAAATTTTTTTAAATAACAAGAGTTGTCAATATTTCTTTACATTTTAAAGGTGCCAACGTATAAAGTACAAAATATATACTTATTAGTAAAATATTTAAAAATCTGTAAAATAAAAAAGTGTTATTTTATTCAAGGTCTTATGAAACGTTTTTATTTTTAATTAGAATTAAGATAACTACATTCAATAAAATTATGTATTTACATAAAAATCCAAGTCCTAATTGTTATATATACAAGATATAATTAAAAAAGAACCCTTGAGGGAATTTAATATTTTTGAAAACCTAACTATAATATAAATCATGTATTATTTATTATATTGATTTGGTATTACCAAAAATACTAATAGTAAATAATTTATTATATTACTTTATACGAAGATTCAATATAGATCTGAACACTACACAATATCCAAAATCAATCCAAACATAAATATTATATTACAAATAATAAACAAAATATAGTGACATTATAGCCATTACAGGAGTCAGGAATTGAACACTAAAGTAATTGAACAAGTACGACTAATAAGTAATAAGTATAGTTACCTCAACTTCTTCAACTCATTTTGGTTTAGATAAATAATAAATATCAAGTGATTATTGCTTAATAGTTAATACTTGGTATAAATTAATGATAACTTACACAGATACTCCTCTGCTGACGGTTCAAACGGAAAAAAAAAATTAATGATAACTGATAAGTAGAAATCACCACCTCATATTCATAAACAACAGAGCATATGGAACGGTTGACGGCGGGTGGAAAAGTACAGTGTGCTCAATTCTATACTACGAAATATCGTTCTAATAAAATAATAAGTAAATATTTTAAATAGATATTATAGTAGATTATATTGTAAAATTAAAATGATAGACACTAGACAAATTAAGCAGCATTAATTATGATGAATGATGATGCTGATAATTTATATTTCTTTTGATGAAGATTATCCTATTGATAATGCAATACGACAATAATAAAATTACTCTCAAATCACAAATTTGAAACTGGTTTGTTCTAGCTTACAGTTCCGTAAATGTACATTCATGTGTTAATGATGCATGAAAAATGGTTTTTTAATTTTAAAAAATCCTAGAAAACAAATGTTGCATTTGATGTTAATTTTTCTTAAAATTTAAGGATGAGACAAATCTATTGGTTGTGGTTTCAAGATGATCCAATGAATATTGAACGTTCTTTAAATAATCTAACACTTATTTTAACACATAAATGGTAATTTTAATGTACAAAAATCACCTAATGCTTAAACAACTAGTTTTAAAAAATAATAAAATGCTGCTCATTTGAACAACATTATCGTATGGCTAACCAATGACCAATCTATGCAACAGTTTTTCCACCAATGTATGATTAACAGCCATTCTGTTGTATCAAGCCAACCATCCTAAATTGAAAAAAAGATTTATTAAAACAAAGATAAGTATTTTTATCAGAAAAAACTCAAGATTAAATTAACAAAGATCACCTTTTTTAGACACTTAATCATTAGCAGGCATGTTTAATGAACTCCTTATTGCTCTCCATGTAACAAGATATAAATCTTACAGCTATGACTTTATTGAAGTTTGATGAATATAACATCCAGCTCATAGAAGTATAGTATATCAAATGTGTCTCCATTAATAATCATATTTTCTTATTGACCTAAACATAATAACATATTAGCTCATATCAAAATTTAAATTTGTTACATGAACTATTATCTATCAATACGTGTTTTACAGTTTTCTAATTTTTTTACACTATATGACTATTTAAACAAAAATAGATTTTAACAATATCTTATATGATTATAAAATTAAGCTATCATATACCACGCATTATGCAAAAACTAATTGTCCGCTTACCTTCAATTTCTGTCATAAATTATTTGGAATCAAAATTAACTTTAACACAACAAAATGGCATGTCAGAACCCGCGATAGTTGCTCACGTCTTCTTAGGGATTTGACGGTAAACACGCGACCAAACGCATTTGGTTAAATAAAAACAATTACGGTATTCACGAAAGAAAAACAAGTAAGGTTAGCACCAAGACAATTTTATAAAAATTAATAAGACTATAAAAAAACCAAAATAAACATTAAGTAGATTATTCTAGAGAAAGAAGTGATGGTAAATCATTTAGTGTAGGTTTGAGACGATCCAATGGACATTGAATGTGTTATTCCAAAAACAAAGATTTTCATTTTTAAATGCCTATAATACTAGTACATTTAGATTGATAAATTATTTTTATGATTTAAAAA